CTAAATCTTTATTTATAGAGTAATCATCAATACACTGTATAACTTTTTCTAAAACGATCCTGTCTTAAATACTGTAAAACTTAGAAAAGCATGAACACCAAACCTGTTTCTGCTATGTTATTGTCTTGCAAGGAAAGAGCCAATCAGATGTGATAAAACTAACCTGCAAACAGCAGTGGTAATTTGTTTGTGGTTTTGAGGTTTGTTCATGTGTACTGAAATTGATTGTGATTGGTCACTCACTACACAATCAACAATCCTGAATTATTTTAAGTGTTTACGCTTTTCTGAGTTTGATAGTAAATATGAGTATAATAGAACATGTGAAAATAATGGTTCATTTCAAACAATTTTGCTTACCAGCATTATAACTTCCTGTTTCATGAAAACAGGACATAAACAGAATATTTGTACCATTATTCAGAATAAACAGAGTTCAATCATACAAGCATAAGCAACACAAAAAATGGCTAGTATAAATTCACCCTTAACAAGCATCTGGGCTAAAATGAGAGTTGAAAGAGTCAGCAATCTCTCTGGGATCTGTAAGTAACATCATAGCCAAAAACAGTAAAACAGGTAGTTTAGTTTGTTTTGTAGATGCAATCTGAAAGTGTGACTTTAAATATTCCTAAAATTAAAGCCCAAATAGCTGAGTTCACYGGTTTGAACAGTCAGTCTTGAGGGTAATTAAGTAAGCCTTAGAGCTTATGTCAAAAATATAAAATGTTCCATAACTGAAAATCAGAAGTCTTCTTATTTGATTAAGATCATCAACTTATAACTTGGGATGAACTACACGTAAATCAAATTGGTGAAATTTGATTTGTTACTCCTACCTAAAAATTGGGTCCTTCATCCCTCCATATTTTTACTAGCCAAGCAGTTCTCAGTTTTGCATCCTTTGTCTTTGACGGGATTCAATGAAACCTTAGGGAACTATCATAATGTGAGTCACCATTACACTTCATAACACAGCAGTGATAACAAGACTTTTTCTTGGGGGATCAACCGTTTCTAAATCACCTCCTTAATGGGAAGAACAACTTGGAGACTGTGCTGAACTGGACGATAAAACATCTTGATTTTGGGAAGTTGCCATGTTGCTCGAAGCCCATTTCCACTTGGCAGGTGAGTAAATGTCACGCCAAAGAAACGTTCCACTTGGGTTCAAAAAGCAAAAAAAACACAAAGATCTGTTCAAGAATTACTTTTAAATGCTAAAATATCTGGGGTCAATGGACATTACACTATTCTTCTCTTTTAGAAGTCACGCTCAAACTCTCTCAAGTTGTTTGCTTATCAAGGAGCTTGCTCTCCAGCATGGCATTGCTGTGCAGTATCCAAGCACGTGATCGTTAGCTGCAAAGGGTCTATTTCCCAAATGTTCTGGTTTTGAATGCTAGAAGTATACAGAAAAGGTTTCTGACTTACATGCTTTGCTGCTTACAGATTCTTCTGATATTGTTGCCACGACAGAGACTTGGCTAGATCAAAACTATCTGGATTGTGAGCTTCAACTCGAGAGATACAATATGTACCGGAAGGATAGAAGCAACCGGTGAGGCAATGGAGTTCTCATAGCTGTAAGAGATCATATTACTTGTACACATGGGACAGACTTGGAAGTTGAAGCTGAGATGATTGCTCCTGAAATTCATCCTAACCCTAACATGCGTGTTCTCTTCTGCGTTTTCTACAAACCACCTGGTACAGATGAGTCATTTCTTGTATATTTTAGGAACTTTCTAGCTCAGTATTCAAGAACTGGCTAGCCAACCTTCTAGTATTCGGTGATTTCAATTTTCCAAACCACGCTGGCTCATTGCCGACACATTTCTTTCCATTGCTATGCTTGGTGTCATGTGACCAGTTACCATGTGTTGATGGGTCGGAAGATTAGTCACTATTGTACTGGCAATATAAATTCCAGTTAACTAGTTAAGAAAGACTTCAACGTATTAAATGCTAAACAAATTATCCAAGAGTAGATAAAATCCAGTTTGTAATTCAGTTTCACTTCGATCATTTGAAAATAACATAATTTTGTGACCCCTTTTCCAAGATATTTCGATTTACACTGATTTCAGAGCTGTGCAGATCTTCATTATTGAGGGAGGGGAGGGTTAGCCTTTCCAATATCTTTGTATTTAACTTAGGTTACCCCTGTGAGGTTTCAAGTTAGAAGTGCGGTAAAACAAACTCCACAAATTTTCCAATGTTGAAGGGTTTAAACTCCCAAAACATCTTAACTAACCATGCTGTAGTCTTTTTCCAAAGCCAAAATCGAAAATAAATCTTTCTTTTAGTCACCTGACCGAATTAAGCCTTCTAAAAGCACAAAATAACATGTAGAGAAATGCTCGAATGACCACCACATTATATGGCATAGAATCCAAGATGGCGGCTCCCAGCGGTGCAACAGAAGTGTGCAAACAAAGTAGGAAATGTTCAAAGGCAGCTGGTCATAGAGGCC